TATTAAGGATCAGTCCAAGGTGGGCTGGCTTAAGGTGGACTGAGTTTCCATACTTTTTACAATCGAGACCACAGCTGTGCTCCAAAGGATGGACTAGATTGTGTGTGTGTTTTGCTATTTAGTTACTAAGTCGTGTCTCACTTTTTTGCGACACCATGGACTGTAGCTGGCCAGGCTCTTCTGTCCACGGAATTCTCCAGGCAAGAATATGGAGTGAGTTGCCATCTCCTTCTCCAGGGGACTTCCCCACCCAAGGATTGAACCCCTGTCTCCCGCTTTGGCAGGTGGGTTCGTTACCCCTGAGCCATCTGGGAAGCCTGTGTGCTTAGGGCGATAAAATCACTAGATTGGCTGAGGCTTGAAAAGCCCCTCTAGTCCAGTGCATTGCCTCAGCCAGGCTCGAATGGCATAATTTCCAAACAAACAGGAATCCATCCCCTTCTAAAAACTCTGCCAAAAGGTCTGTTTCGCAACTTTTCTCCCAATGACTTCTCTCTGCTTGGCATCTCTCACAGTCAGGAAACATTTGTTCCCGTCTAATACAAATCAATTTTAAAAAGTTAACCAGCTCTCATTAAAAATCTAGTAAGTCCTTGGCACTGCTGGGGACGTGAACATGACAGGGCATGGTTCCTGCCCACTTCTCACTAGTTGGAGCTCAACTCTTCTGTAAAATGTTGCTAATCTTTTCTTCAGAAATAATTTCCCCCCTGAACCCCCATAAGCTCCCCTGGTAGCCCAGATGGTAAAGAATCTACCTACAATGCAGGAGACCTGAGTTTGATCCCTGCGTGGGGAAGGTCCCTTGAAGAAGGGAATGGTAACCCACTCCAGTATTCTTGCCTGGGGAATCCCAAGGACAGAGGAGCCTGGCGGGCTACAGTCCATGGGGTCACAAAGAGTCAGACATGACTGAAGTGACTTAGCATACATGCACATAAGCTCCCATACTTCATTTATAAACTTGTTACAGCAGTGATCACATTCTGCTTTTGATTATATTTTCCCTGTGCATATTATCTCCTTGCTGATTTAACCTATTTTAGACAGAAAATGGAGAAGATGGGAGGGGTTCAAGTCATCCTAGCTCAGGGTTCTTTGTCAAATACTTTGAGAAAACTTCAAAGGAGGATTTAAGTGTTACTTTCCAATGTTCAATACCTTTGACAGAGCAGAAGCTTGATTAAGTACCTGTTAAATGAAAATGAACATTCTGAGCACAAGAAGTGGACACAGTCTTTGTTGTGGCTTTATTTGCTATAGCAAAGGATGGAAACAACCTCAGTATTCATTTATGGGCCATTGGTTAGATACAGGTTGGTACATCCATATGACAGCATACTGTGCATCTGTTGAAAAGACTGAGGCAGGTCTCTGTTTGCTAACGTAGAGCAATCGCAAAGGTATGGTGTGAAGAAAACGCAGAATGTTGTGTATGGCATGCTAACATTTCCAGTAAAAGTTGTGTGTGTGTAACAAGAGCACAGAATGTGTCTAGAACAATACAAACTGAGGGACTGGGACAGAGGGAGTGGTGGGTTGATAAACCAGCTCTCAGGGGATAAAATACCCTATCTGTAGAGTCTGATTATTTCTGCAGTATAAATACCCTCATCCTGGCCAAGTTCAAAATAATACATTCTGACAACTGGAACTAACTAGAACCAATATGAGCTGGCTTCAAAGACATAGCGGTGAGAAGGTGGCGGGCTTTCCACTTGTAGAGCTTTTGGTACAATTTTCCTTTCTGATATCATACTTGGATAGACTAAAATGTAAATAAACTCTTAAATTTTGAAAGGGACTTCCCTGGTGGCCCAGTGGCTAAGACTCCGTGTTCCCAATGCAGGGGGCCCAGGTTCTACCCCTGGTCAGGGAACTAGATCCCACATGCCACAACTAAGAGTTTGCATGCCCCAACTAGAGATGCCATATACTGCAATGAAGACCTGGTGCAGCCAAATAAAGAATTTATCTCAAAAAAATAATCATGAGATTACATGGGTTAAAAAAGAAATGTAACTAGTGGGATGTCCACTAGAGTTAAAAAATAAAAAAGGAACTGGCATTAAAAACCTAAAAAAATCTTTTAAGAAAAATTGTCCTGCTTTGATTACTATATTCCAAGACTCTTAGTTTTCTTCCCTTGATAGTATTCTGCTTACCTGTACCTGTTCAGTCCTCCTGGTCAGGACCTATCACGGCAGTCTTACATACAAAAGACAACACTTAGCATTAGTAACCTCTCGATATGTAGGGAAGGCCACTATCTTGAAAGTGTAGCAGCTGCAGGAATATTAGGCCAGAAAACAGCCATCTCCAAAGAGTGCTGCTGGAGAAGCCGGGACACAGAGCCTAAGCACAAGAGCCCAATTTTCCAGCAGCTGTGTGGGTGAGGGACACCTCCAGAAGTCAGGATGTAACCAGGCCAAACAGCAGACTACCCAAGGGAGCCAGTTACAGCAGAATTCTTCAGCCCTCTGAGCATCCTCTGCATGCATCCTTCTTCAGCATCACCCCCGCCAGCCAGCGTGAGGCCCAGACTAGGGAGGAGATGCCAGGGACCACCAGCTCCAAAGATTCCTCCTCAAATCACTTAGAAGCCCATTCACACCAATCCCCAAGTCTGGCTTTTGGGCCCAAGTGGGTTCCATGTGTTTCTGAGAATTTGTGTCTTACTTTTCATTTCAGCCTCCTCTTGGTCTGACTCCCGCCAACTTACTCTTCAACTTTCAGCTAAAATATTTCTCCTTCAGCGGTTTCCTCTGGGTAAGCCCATCTCACCCTGCCCTCATCAATAACTCATAGCGCCTGTCAGTGTATTTGTTTTTCCGGATCAGTCTCTCTCGATCAGCTGAGCTCAAGGCCTGCCTCATTTATGGGCATATTTCCAAAACCTGACACACACAGGCCCTCAGTGCATGTTGGCTGAATGAATAAGTTACAGTACACGCTCATGAAACCTTCAGAAGACGTCTGATAAGGGGAACATTTTATTTGGAGAGATCTTGATTGAGCATTAGTTTATCTTCATTTTCCATTAAGGCAGTAACATTCCTCCTGGATGCAGATGAGGGGAGAATCGTCTGGGGGCTACATTAAGTGCAGATTAAGACAAAGCCAACCACTTTGCAATCAGATGCAGCAGAAATACAGATTATGGGCTGGGAGAAGCCATATCTCGGCTTCCTGAGCCTACTGACAAGGAGCAGACCAGGGCAATGCATTTCAGTCGCTTTAAAAAGTGACTAAGTTCCACTACACACCACCCCTAAAGCAGATACCTCCTTCATGAGCCCTTCCACCATGACAGAAGAGGTCTGGCATTGGTGCCCAGTGCTCTGTTGATATTTAGCCTTTGCTAAGTTTTCAAGGAAATTGCAGTCTATTAGAACTGCTCAAGAGCACTGAGTTCCTTGGGTTTTGTTTAGGAATTCTTTAAATATACAGTAAATTAACTCTGCATAAAGCGACTGTGCCAGTTCCTAGCCAGCTTGATACCTGGCTAGGTATGTGTGTATGTGAGTGTGTTCGTGGGGGTCAGGTTTCGGGTTGAGGTTGGGGCACTATTCATTGGCACATATGACCCCTGAGAATTTGGGGGTACCAAAAAAGTAAACATTGATCCTATGGCCCAGCAGACATCGCATGCACTATGATCTAAGAGAAAATGAAATCAGAGCAAGGCAGTTCCCACAGATATTTAGCCACACTGTAATAACTAGATCTAATGAAAGCATTAGTCACTCAGTCGTGTCCAACTCTTTGTGACCCCCATGGACTGTAGCCTGCCAGGATCCTCTGTCCATGGAATTCTCCAGGCAAGAATACTGGACTGGGCTGCCGTTTCCTTCGCCAAGACCTAATGCTGCTAAGCCACTTCAGTCGGTTCCGACTCTATACGACCCCAAAGATGGCAGCCCTCCAGGCTCCCCCATCCCTGGGATTCTCCAGGCAAGAACACTGGAGTGGGTTGCCATTTCCTTCTCCAAGGCCTAGAACACAGGGCTAAATACACAAGAGACGCAGCACCTGAGATCAGAAACTTTGTTATGACTCCACACTACCCTCTAGTGGTCTGCTGCTCAATGACACCCTCCTTGAACATAACCCTAAACCAACAGTAAGAATCTATTTGAAGGCACGCTATTTAAAATAGTAGATCTGGCCAGAGCCCAGATCCTAGAGTTAAAAACAGAGGGCTTCTCATTGACTGCAAAAATAAAATCTGATGACATCTGGGACCCTAGTTTTGAGAAAATGCTCTGATGATAAGTCTTAGTTCTGGAGGTTAGCAGACAGAGTTCTGAGAAAATGCTCTGATGATTAATGGCCTTAGGTCTGGAGGTTACCAGACACTCTTGGGGACCCCAATACAGCCTGATTTGTCAGATGGACCCAGAAGGCCCAGAGAGGAGGGTGGCCAGCAGAGGTGAGCCACAGACAGGGCAGGTTCTGCAGGGGTGGAGAGCAAAGTCACAACAGGTAACACAGGTGGAAGGGCGGCAGGAAGGAGGCTTGTGACAGAGCAAGTGCCGGCCTCCAGAAGCCAGCTTTAGGGCTGCTTTCACGATTCTCCCCTCTGATGATTCTCCCCTCCTGGATCTCACCCCGAACAAGAAGGCAGACAATGTAAGCTGGTTTGAAAGATTATGTTAAAATGAACTACATTTGAGGCTTCTATACCTGACTACATGGCAAAGGCAGGAAAGGTGCCTGGGAAGTAAGATCTCGTTTTCTCTACATTTTCAAAGAAGCAATCATTCAAAGATAAAAAAATATTTGTAAGAGACTGGGTCTTTTGCAAAGAATAAAGCACTTTTTGTTAAATACACGAAGGCTACTTGGCTGAACAGACATACATTTTTTTTTTTTTGGAACCGTGTATAATGTCATCAAGTTGAAACTTTGGAATGGCTGACTCCTCCCGTGTTTCCTGGGAGCACCCGGCCCTGAGCAGCCAGACCCCCGCGCACACCCCCCGGCCCGCCCGCTGGGCCTTACACCCTCTTCATTCCTTTCCCCATGAGGCAAGCGAACACGGTCATGACCATCTTGGGGTTCACTTCCACCAAGTCTTCTGGAAGCGCATACACTCTCGCTCCAATTTTTCGTGCCATAGAGATGGCATACCTAAAAGAGAAAAGAGGAGGGATGAGGGGAGCCTGAGCACGTATGAAGGGGACCCCTCATGGTCAGAGTTACTGTCATTCTATTTAACATATACTACATACTCTATGAAAGAAGGTGAAAGTGTTGGTCACTCAGTCACGTCTGACTCTTTGCAACCCTATGGACCGTAGCCTGCCAGGCTCCTCTGTCCATGGAATTCTCCAGGCAAGAATACTGGAATGGGTTGCCATTCCCTTCTCCACGGGATCTTCCCAGACCCAGAGATCAAATCCAGGTTTTCTGCATTTCAGGCAGATTCTTTACCATCTGAGCTGCCAGGGAAGCCTTCTATACTGTAAACTATCTACTATGCTGAGGTCACTCCTTGTACGGCTGGAGCCAATCAGTCACTGGCTTCCTCTCGAGGTTTTTGGGGAAGTCTTAAATTGACAAAGCTCCCAACTCCATCAAACTTGCTGTTCGACCTCGTGATAATTACCAAATGTATTATTTGTCTTTAAAGAGCTTCCTAGCTCCCACCACTTTTGGTGCTTATTTGCTTGGGCTCTACTGTGGCAGAAAAAGTCACAGACCTGAACAAGAGTGTGTGCTAGGGAAAGACTGCAGACTCCACTTCAGTTACAGAACATTGTTTACAAGGCAGAAAAAAAGAGGAAAGGCATCTGTAATGCCATGACCTTACCCATCAATTCTTTCTTTCTTTATTTTTTAATCTTTTTTGGCTGCAAGGAATTATGGGATCTTAGTTCCCTGACCAGGAATCAAACCCATGCCCCCTGCTTTAGAAGCTCAGAGTCTTAACCACTGGACCTCCAGGGAATTTCACCCTACCCCCATCCATTCTTTTCTTCCTTCTTCCATTCCAATTCTTGTCCACATGCATGTGTATTTATTTATGCTACTATAATCATAGAATAACCAGAGTTTTATATTACACATTTTTCACATAAGATTACCATAGCTGCATCAGAATATTTTTGCTCTGTTTATAGTTACAGGAAGATAGTTTTATTAGTTATAGTCTACTTGCAAATGAGCCCACACTATTATTATCTGGCAGTTCTTTTATTCTGCTCGTTTGTTATCTCGCAACCTCTTACAATGGCTGCTCCAGAGATTCTTCATTCCACCCAAGGCCCCGTGACTCCCTCCACTCTTCTGAAATAACTTTACTCGTAGTTTAGTGATCACATTAATTTAAGAGCTCCAGGCAAGAGTACCCCATTCTTTCTCCTTGTCCATCTCTCAGTCACTTCCTCTATATGAATGATTAATGAAGTACAATTAATTTTTCCATTATAAAATATAGAGGAGAAGTTGTTCAAAAATAAGAAAACGGAACTTAAGAAAAAAAATGCATGATCTTGCCACCATAGCCATTTTTAGGATTCTAAATTTTGGGCTTCCCTGGCTGCTCAGACGGTAAAGAATCTGCCTGCGATGCAGGAGACCCGGGTTCCACCCCTGGGTGGGAAAGATCCCCTGGAGATGGGAACGGATACCCACTCCAGTAAGAATACTGGAGAATTCCACGGGCAGAGGAACCTGGCGGGCTACAGTCCATGGTGTTGCAGAAGAGTTAGTGACTACACAACAGCCACCCTCACACTGTGTGTAGTAAGCAGCAGCTGCTCTCAAACCAGTGAAGACTCTGGCCTTGAACCCCACTGCTGCCCAGGCACATCCATGGATATTCACAAATAGGGTGTTCAACTCCACACCCACCATGTACAAACTCTACTCAGGAGACCTCCTATAGATTATGATAAGGAAATCAGTGTTATGAAATTGTAGGCTTGCTTATCAGTTGGAAGTCAATTGTTTTCCATTTCAATTGTTATCAGTTGTTTTTTTGTCATGTACCCTCTCACACCTGGAGCCCTAAACTGTCATTGCACAGTTGCAAATATAAAGGTGATGGGACGCAATAAGTCATGAGAAGAAAAAGCATGAGTAGTGAAACCAAATTGCCTGCATGGAGGCATGGGCACTAGACCTCACAGCTACCCGCTCCTTCCCTCCCAGACCTCGGCCTTGTTTATGTACTTTGCGTTGTTGAGTTTCTCTTCTTCGTCCAGGTTCTCCGTCTTCAGAAGGTCATAGTTAATGGAACCTGGCTGAATGGCATCGATGAGGTCAAGGACTGGCAGGCTTGTGCTGATCTTCGGGTCCTGCACAGAGAGAAAGCGTGGGTTTCATCAGTATGCTCCCAAGTTACTCCTGTTTGGCTCAAGGAAAGTGGGTGGTTCTTTTCACTTTTTGGTTGCTCCATGTGGCATGTTCCCTCATAGCTCAGTGGGTAAAGAATCCGCCTGCAATGCAGGAGACCCCAGTTCGATTCCTGGGTCAGGAAGATCTGCTGGAGAAGGGATAGGCTACCCACTCCAGTATTCTGGCCTGGAGAATTCCATGGACTGTATAGTCATGGGGTCGCAAAGAGTCAGACAAGACTGAGCGACTTTCACTTTCACTTTCCATGTGCCATGTGGGAACTTAGTTCCCTGACCAAGGATGGAACTCCTCTTAAATATGAAATATACACGTCCTGCCACAGTGTGGCACACGGCGTTTCAAACCAAGTGCTGTTTCTGTAGGGGATGTCAGTATCCTGGTGGCGCACTATGCAGAGGAAACGCATTGTCTGCCAACAGGCAGGCAGTCGTTCACTCAGAGCTGTGAATGCACAAAACTCTGCTCTCTCTCTTGGGTACCTGCGAGTACAGACAGGGAGAGGCAACTGCATGTCCCCATCTGAGCACAGTCAAGTCTAAACACCTCATACCTCGAGGGTCCAAATTAGAATCAATTCTAACCAAGAAACAAGATGTGGGACCCCTGCAAGATGCTAGGTCTCCAGCACAGGCCCTCTGCAGAGGTACAAAAATATTAAAAAAAAAAGATAGGAAGGGTAGGGACTTCCTTGGTCGCGGTCCAGTGGTTAAGACTCTTCCCATGCAGGGGGTATGAGTTCGATCCCTAGTCAGGGAACTAAGATCCCACAAGCTGTGCAGCATGGCCAAGAAATTAAAATGAATGAAATAATAATAATAAAATAACATAAAAATAGTTTGGGCCCCTTTTTATTTATTTATGGGTAATATAAGTGAAAGTCGCTCAGTCGTGTCCAACTCTTTGCAACCCGGTGGACTATAGCCCACCAGGCTCCTCTGTCTGTGGAATTCTTCAGACAAGAATACTGGAGTGGGTTGCCACTTCCTTCTCTAGGGGATCTTCCTGACCCAGGGATCAAACCCAGGTCTCCTGCACAGCAGGCGGACTCGTCACTGTCTGAGCCGCCAGGGCAGCCCAGGTAATAGGAGTCCTACTACAAAATTAAAATCAGTACATACAACCATACTCTCATTTCCATTATTAGCCAGAGCTGCTATCACCACAGAATTTTTTGGTGAAGAAGCACAAGGAAAGCAAAATGGAGCGACTGGAGTTTCAGCTTCTTCCCTACTTTCTTCCCACAGTCTTGGGGGGCTGATGGCAGCGAGATGGTGAGCAGTCAGCAGCATTCATAGGTGAGGGGGAAGCAGGACTGTTTCCACAGTGGCTGATGGGGGGTGGGCTATGCTCATTTTTTGAAAGGTTTCACTTAAAGTCCCAGTCTGGTGCTCTGTGATGACCTAGAGGGGTAGGACAGGGAGAGGGGAGGGAGGCTCAAGAGGGAGGTGATATGTATAAGTACGGCTCATTCACATTGTTGAACAGCAGAAACCAACATAACATTGTAAAAATTAAAAAACAACAAAAATAAATCAAGAAAAAAAAAGAAAAAAAAAGCGATGTGGGGCTAATTTGACATTTTCCTTTTGTGTATTTTCCTCTTTTTTTTTTGATCTATTCTGTAATGACTTGGTGAGAAGACAGGAGAAAATTCACCCTGAGCATCACAAGGAGAAAAGAACTGTCAAACATTCCTAAGAGGAACACCCCAGAAACTGCCGGGTAATGCAACGGGCTGTGTTCCTGTAGCGGTGGCTGTTATACCAAGAGACGCACTCCCGGGACTGTTCAACCATCGGGTCACAGCCGTGGTCACGTGATCGACAGACACTGCTCCAGAACCCCACCTTGCAGGGAAAGGAGCTTCCCCCCCACCCCTAGTGGCCACCACCTGCAATTACTAGCTGTGACTTCAGGAGTTAAATGAGCCCCGGATTCCTCATTATACAATCAGGAAGACGGTGGGACTTCCCTCCTGGATCAGTGGTTAAGACTCTGCGCTTCTGTCACAGGGGACACAGGTTCGATCCCTGGTCAGGTAACTAAGATCCCATATGCCACGCAAAGCAGTAAAAAAAGAAAAATCAGGAAAATGGTAAAGCTATCTTCACGATTTCTGTGAATAAGAAGGCCCTGGTCCTCAGAATGCAGTCCATCCTGGGAGCACCCTTCTTCACCGCCTTCCCTGATCTCTTTCTGGAAAAATTTGGTCATGTCGATCACCAGTCTCTGCTCAGCTCTTCAGACCAGACGAACGGTAAGTGGAGGGCTGGCTCTTTCCTGTGCTGAGCTCAGAGTCCAGGCACCCCTGGTATAGCCCAACCCAGAGATACACCCCCTGCCCTTCCTGGGAGGGGAGAGATTTTCACTCTTCTCTTGATTTTGAAGCAGAGGATCGACATTATGACAAACGGCCTCACCCACCCTGTTAATATAACTCTGAAGGGGTCCCTCCCCCAATCTTGACCTTTAAATCAAGAAAATGTAGTTAGATGGGACGCCGACACTATACTGTGGATCAAGTGCCCAGGGCCCCTGAGGAAGAATCCAGCTAATGTTTAAAACATGAGATAAGAAATGTAATAAAATATAATGCTGTTATTAATAAAAACGGGATTTGGATACAAGTACACAACTGCTTTTTTTCTCAAAAAAAAAAAAATACCCCATGAGAGTTCTTCTGGCATTTTACATTTCTCCATCATCATGTTAACAATCTGAACCATGGAGCTGTGCATGCTTAACAAAATACTATATTTTACATTACTTTGGAAGAACAATGCCTAAAATCCCTTATAAAAAAATGACTGGATTTTTAAAACCAATTATTAGGGAGGAAAACGACAAGAAATTTGTCAATGAAACAGCCTATGAACATCAAAACAATAATGGGTCATTCAAGCAAAATCAAAATGGGGAGGGGTGCCTCAAAGACTTCATACTGAAGGTCACTCTTAAAGGCAGAGTGAAAGCAATAAAGATAAGCATAAAGCTCAGGTGGCTGCGAGCAGGAGACAAAGCACATTACCTTGAAACTAGAGATGGATGAATTCTTCTCCGCTTCCTTCAATGTTTCATTCACCCAGCTGACAATAGTGTCATCATTGACCTTCTGCCCACCTCCAATTTCTTCAAGAATATTCAGTGTGTACCTGAACAAAACCAAGCATGATTTCTGGAGAAAATTCACTAAAGAATTCACAATTGTATAGCACAGGGAACTCTTCTCAATACTCTGCTGCTGCTGCTAAGTCACTTCAGTCATGTCCGACTCTGTGCGACCCCATAGATGGCAGCCCACCAGGCTCCCCCGTCCCTGGATTCTCCAGGCAAGAACACTGGAGTGGGTTGCCATTTCCTTCTCCAATGCATGAAAGTGAAAAGTGAAAGTGAAGTCGCTAAGTCATGTTCGACTCTTCGAGACCCCATGGTCTGCAGCCCACCAGGCTCTTCCGTCCATAGGATTTTCCAGGCAAGAGCACTGGAGTGGGGTGCCATTGCCTTCCTGTCTCAATACTCTATAATGACCTAAATGGGAAAAGACTCTAAAAGAGCCTGGATATATGTGTTTGTATAACTGAATCACTTTGTTTTCAGCAGAAAGTAACACAACATTGTGAGTCAACTATACTCCAGTAAAAATGTAAAAAAATAAGAAAAAGAATTCACTATTCACAGAGTTGCCAGCGTAGAAGTTTTTATTTTTTATTTTTCCCTGTCGCAGAAGATGGCCTGGATACCATTAAATTTGAGGAAAAAAGAATATGTAATAACACTAGTTCCTTTTAGAATAACAAAATAGACCTTTATATGTAAAGTGTGATGCAGAGCAAATACCACTGTCATTGTGGGAAGGGAAAGCGGAAGGGAAGCAGGGAAAGCAAAATGAAGCAAAGGTTTTGAACCAGTGGTGCTTTTCTTAAAGGCATCATGAAAATCAAGAAATAATTCAATGTTAGGGAAGCCCAAGCACATATATTCAGACATGACTATCATTCAAAAAGACATGTGTACCCCTATGTTCAGAGAAGCACTATTCACAATAGCCAAGACATGGAAACAATCTAAATGTCCACTGATAATGGATAAAGAAGATACACACACACACACTGGAGTACTACTTGATACAAAAAGCGTGAAATCACACCATTTACAGCAACATGGATGAAACTAGAGATGATCGTACTAAGTGAAGTAAGCCAGAAAGAGAAACACAAACACCACATGATATCACTTATATGTGGAATCTAAAATATGACGCAAATGAACCTATCTACAAAACAGAAACAGATTCACAGATGCAGTGAATAGACTTCCGTCTGCCAAGGGGGAAAAACGTGGGGAAGGGACGTATTGGAAGTATTTGGGGTTAGCAGATACAAACTGTTCATTATAGAATTGATAAACAACAAGGTCCTACTGTATAGCACAATGAACTGTATTCAACATCCTGTGACAAACCATAATGGGAAAAATATGAAAAAGAATGTATAAATATACATATATATATATGCATATGCATGTATACCTGAATCACTTTGCTGTACGGCAGAAATTAACACAACGTTGTAAATCAGCTATAGGTCAATAAAAAAAAGAAAAGCCCAACCAGCTAACATAACAAAGAAAAAACATAAAAGTCTCATCAGTATAAGACAGAAGTAGAAATTAATCTCTAGTTAATCTCTAGTTTGAGAGTAAGAACCGCCTTTGAGACACACGATTATGAGAAGTGTGGTGGTAGGGAACGTTAGAATGCTTCAAGCTCTTAAAATTCCAGGGAGCGGAGAAAACTCACCATTCCCCAAGCTGATCCCTCTCAAAAGGGAAATAGAGAGGCAAGCAGTGAGCAAGTGGGCAGGTCGGCTGGCCTCATGGTTCAGTCTTGTTAAGGATGAGAGGGAGGTGGTCAAATTACCCACAAAAGACTAGGGTTTCAGCGTGCGTCGTCCAAACTGAAATTCAAGTCTCTGGTCTGTCTGGAGGGCCTCCCTAAATGAGGTCACCCTCCGCCTGGGGTTTTGCTTACATAACCCATCGGGTATCTCCCTCCAGTTACTGCTTCTGTGAAAAACACCACGCTTCATGATCTCCCACATGATTTTCAAGTGTTATCTCTGAAAAAGGAGTAATGACCCACTTTCTTCAGATGAAAGCACTTCCCCATCATTGGTGATGGGGAGGAAAAGAGCTTCTGCAACTTTTCTTTACCAAAAAGTAAAATTGGGGGGAGGGGTGCTTCCTTGGTGGCTCAGTGGTAAAGAATCCGCCTGCCAATGCAGAAGACATAAGAGATGTGGGTTCAAATCTCTGGGTTGGGAAGATCCTTGGGAGGAGGAAATGGCAACCCACTCCAGCATTCTTGCTTGGAAAATCCCATGGACAGAGGACCCTGGCGGGCCACAGTCCATGGGGTTGCAAAAAGTCAAACTCAACTTGAGAGATTGAGCACGTACATGCATGTACACGTGCATGCATGTTGATTGAATTGCGTGCATGAATTGTTGATTCACTTTGTTGTATACATATTACAAGGTGATTTTCAAATATTATTAAATTCAAAATAGAATAGAGTTGGTCTGAGTATTTTTTTAAGTCACTAATACAACTGTAAAGCAATTATACTCCAATAAAGATTAAAAAAATGAAATGGCCCCATGAGTCCCAGCTGGGCCTCATCCAACAGCAGGGGATGGATGGGATGTGGGCCTGAAGGGGCTGCGATTATGACTTTCGTGCTTTCCTGCCATCGACCTCGTGGTTTTATTTATATAACATGTGACCCTGAGGGGCCCTAAGTGACCCTAGCTGCTCTGTTTTTCACAGACCTATCCCCAATTCACTGTCCACAGCCTATTTGATTTGGAGAGAATTCCCTCCTTTGCCTGCCGCAGACTCGCCTTCCTTTGCTGGAGTCTACTGTTGCTGTCTGCTGGCAGTCTTCTTGCCTCAGGCTTTTGTCTCCAAATTTATACACATGCAATCTGCCAGCTTTCCAATCTGAGACCAATTTCCAAGCTACCGAGGGGGAAAGGGAGGTTTAGGCTCTCATTTGTTTTTAGGGGGAAAAATGACATGCCATTTATTGTCCAGATAAATGACCAAATTAACACATCTGTGCAAACCAGTGAAATAAATTTCAGCTAGAACTGGCTCTAAATTTATTAGATCTGTTAATATGTGGCACACAGAGAAAGAAAAAAATCCCCTTCTGCTGGAATTTATGTAATTATCAGTCATTTCATCACCATCAACAGTAAGGAATTTTCTATCCATTTTCTTATAGGAAATTATTATTACTATTTTTTAATTTTTGACCATGCCACACAGCATGTGGGATCTTAGTTTCCTGACAGGGATCAAATCGTGCCCCAAGCATTGGCAGCTTGGAGTCTTAACCACTGAACCACCAGGGAAGTCCCCTCAATTCTTGTACAGTAAAGAATGAGAAATAGGACTTATTAACCATGAAGAGACTCAGCTCAAACTAGCCCTTGTCAAATATATACCAGCCTTAAACTGTGATGTTGGATCACATTTTTATAAAACTTTCAGAACAAAGATCATATTACAAGGTGATTTTCAAATATTATGAAATTCAAAATAGAATAGAGTTGGTCTGAGTATTTTTTTAAGTCACTAAAACAAAATATCAAAGATGCTTTCATCTTCAGACCCAAGAGTCAATTTAACTGTGACAACTAGAAAGACTTTGGTTTTCAAAGCAATCAGTACCAAAAGCCATTCTGTTAAGAATTAAACATACACAGGAAATAAAATAGTGGGGAGTTCAGAAGGCTTTTCTGAAAATACACTGGTAAGAACAGCTCTTCGGAATTTTCAGCAATGTTCTAGATGCAGGCAGTGTAACAGGGATTAGAGTTAAAGCTGCTTTAGCTCTGGTGTTCTCTGTGCCAGAGAAGCCTATGACATCCGCCTTTGATCATTAAAGAGATCCCAGTTGAGAAGAGGGTAATGGAACATCGTAGTGATTATGATCACTGCTGATCACCCTCCATCACCTGGGAACACTGACATAAGTACTCTGAGGACCATTATAGATATTAGGACCTGCAGACAGTGGCCTGGGAATAGAGCTTCTGTGCTTCAGGAAATGACAAACCTTGTCTCTGCCATTACCTTGTTAGATATAATGTAATGTGACATATGGTTTCTGGGGCTTCCTTCCAGGTAGAAATATGAATTAAGTCACTCTAACATAGGTTCTAATTAAGGAATGGAAGACTTCTGCCTGCTCAGGGCTATCAGTACAGGAGGCAAAGAGCAAAGCATGTAAAAGTAAAGTAGTTAATGCTTACAGCTTTACTATCTAGAATTCTCCCCAGGCTCATGCTTTTGTACCAAAAATTGTTTACTTTTCTCATCATTTATCTTCCATTTGTGTATCTTATTATATTCTACTATTGATTAAATAATTTATCCACAGAGCTCTCACATTAATCAAATTTATATTTGGCTCTAAAAGGTATGCACACGAGTTTGAGTGAACTCCGGGAGACAGTGAAGGACAGGGGAGCCCGGCGTGCTGCAGTCCATGGGGTTTCAAAGACACGCCTGAGTGACTGAACAACAACTAAAAGGTATTTAAAGTTCTCTGTTATAGAAATAGCAGGAAATTCTGCTTCTGGTCATGATGGAATAACAGGAACCAGACTGACCCTTCTGCCTTAAACACATAAAATAGAATGAAAAAATATAAAATGGTGTTGTCTAGACTTTGGACAACAAGAAGCACAAAACAGCGGTCCCTGAGAGAAGGAAAACGAATGTGGTGAGCCCTAAGATTGTCCCAGCTTATTGCACAGAGAATTCCCAGCCTGCAGTGCAGGGCAGGAGAACTCAAACAGAGCATGACAGCCTCGATGAGCTGACGGGACAGGGTTGAGAACTCGAGGAAGCCACGGGCTAGAATGTGTGTGGCGGAACAGCAGAGAGAAGAGAGCTGCCTAGAGAGCAGAGTCATCGAGAACAAAAGCTCCAGAGATCTTCAGAAGGTCTACCTCGAGTGCTTAGCAGAGTGCTACTTGGTGCATGCATTTGAGCAAATTACACTGAAGCTGGAAAAAGAACTTGCAGAAATGAATGGGCAGAGCAATCCTTGGAGTTCACACAAGCGTGGGATACATCTGGCTGCCACCAGTCAGAGTAGACAAATCTCATGATATATGGAGCATCAAGTAAAGTACTCAGATGAGATTATCTCAGTATTGAGAGGCAAAATTAGCTCGAGATTAATTAAGATTTTAAGTAAGCCCCCAAAGGATCAAATTGTGTATAAGTAACGTAACTATATCCCACCAGTCCATCCTAAAGGAGATCAGTCCTGGGTGTTCATTGGAAGGACTGATGTTGAAGCTGAAACTCCAATACTTTGGCCACCTGATGTGAAGGGCTGACTCATTTGAAAAGACCCTGATGCTGGGAAAGATTGAGGGCAGGAGGAGAAGAAGATGACAGAGGATGAGATGGGTGGATGGCATCACTGACTCAATGGGCATGGGTTTGGGTAGACTCCAGTAGTTGATGATGGACAGGGAGGCCTGGCGTGCTGCAGTTCACGGGGTCGCAAAGAGTTGGACACGACTGAGCGACTGAACTGAACCGAACCGAACTGAACTGCATCCCAGGACAAAATTCCAAGAATATTTAAAGGAATACAGAAATATCTAGCAAACGGCAAGGTAAAATTCACAATGCCTTACATACGGTGAAAAATCAGTAGGCATTCCAGGAAGCAAGGAAGTATGACCCATAGTGAGGTTAAAAATCAATTAATAGAAACAGAAATAGCAGTTATTGTACTTATATTCTATATGTTCAAGAAGGTTAAGGAAAGAGATATATGAGATGTCAAAAAGACCTAAATCAAATTTCTATACATGAACACTATAAAGTCTGAGATGAAAAATATATACACCAAATGGAATTAATGGTAGACATTGTAGAAGAGAGTAGTGAATTTAAGACAAGGCAATAGAAATTATCCCAAGTGAAAGAGAGAAGAAAAATGAAACATAAAGGAAAAAGATGATCTGAGCATCAATGATCAAATACTTAAAGGTCCTGAAAAACTAGGGTGGGTGGGTACAGGAGTCAAATTTGAATAAATAAAGGCCAACATTTTTCCAAATTTGATGAAAATTGTAAACCCACAGATGCAAGAAGCTCAACAGACCTCAAGTGCAAAAAACACCAAAGGACATCATAATCAAACTACTTAAAACCAGCGATTAAGAGAAAATCTTGAAAGAAGCCAGAAAAGAAAAGACATGACCTACACAGGAACAATGGAGAAGTTAATGGCAACCCACTCCAGTATTCTTGCCTGGAGACTCCCATGGCCAGAGGAGCCTGGCGGGCCATGGTCCACAGGGTTGAAAGTAGTCAGACCCAACTGAAGCGACTAAGGACTGAGGAACAAAGATAAGAAATACAATAGATTTATCATTGGAAACAATGCGAGCTAGAAGACAGTGAACACTATCTTCAAAATAATGAAATAAAAAACTATCAACCTAGAATTCTACACTCAGATAAAATACCATGCAAAAATGAAATAAAGACTTTATCAGACATATAGAAGCTGAAATAATTCCTTGCCAACAGATCTGCACCACTAGAAATATTTCAAGTAGAAATCAAATGGTATCAGAGAGAAATCTGGATCTATACCAGGAAAAGAAAAGCACCCAAAATGACAGATATATAGGTAAATATAGCATATTTCCCCTCTTATTTTGAAAGTCCCTTTAAAGGATAAGTGACTGTATTTACATCAGTCAGTTAAAAGAGGATGGGGGAGAAACATATCATGTTAAAACTAATCAAGAAGCTGTATTACTATTTGGAAAAATAGCTTTTAGAGAAAAAGAGTATCATCAAGCATAGAGGGTCACTCCACATGAAAAAGGGTTATTCATTAAGAAAACAGAACAACCTAAAATACTGATGAACTTGACAACAGAATTTCAAAGTACCTGAAACAAAACTGATAGAAATGAAAGAAAAAACAAACAAAAAAAAAACAGGACACGCCCAGCCCCCCACAACATTCCTTTGGGTTTAAGCTTAGCTTAAAATATAGTTTTACTGGATTAAATCACATTCCTGAAATTTGCTGGTACTTTTCCAGATTAAAAAATACATTCAATCAAACCAATACTGTAAAGCAATCATCAATTAATAAAAAATAAATAAATATAATTTTAAAAATAAAGAATATGTTCAATAAAATGCCATTACCCTGAGCTGTATTACCTTCTCATTAACTGCCAGACCAAGGCCAACGTTAGGGTGCGGTTTCCTTCATTGAGATCTTGTCCACCAATGCCAACCAGAGAGAACTTTGCTTGATTCTTCCCCAGTTCCACTGCATAGTTACAATTCTCAAGCTGTTAATGAGCAGGAAAGGAAACAATCTAATGTCATCATCTCTTTGATGATAAATACCAGAAGAAGTAAGATGATAAAAATAGACACAAAATGAAATAATAAGGTCAGATTGAATAATCTCTCAAGTCTCTAGTTCTGCAATTCTAGGATTCTAAATTAGTCAAATAATTTTCCATCTTTAAAAAAAAATTTATTTGGCTGCACCGGGTCTCAGTTGCAGCATGCAGGATCTGGTTTCCAACCAGGATTGAAACCCCAGACCCCCTGCAATGGGAGCTTGGCGTCTTAACCACTGGACAAGCAGGGAAGTCTTATTTACTTATTTCCACCTTTTCTTAAACAGAACCCCTCACTTTCATCAAAAGAAAAAAAAATACTCATAGTGTACCAGGTGTAAAGCCAAAATGAGTTATTATGATGACCATTTTCATGGCTCTATCCCATGACATAACTAGAAAGCCATAGTAAATAACCTGTCTATAATATCCCTAAGATAGTTGAATTTGTAGAGACTGACCTGGAAAATGCAGATCCTGTAAGCACACAGTGGACCGACATATGGGATGGGTGTTCCCGTGGCTACGATTCATGGATTACTGGGTCACAGGGAAGATAAATGGTGGGAAGTGTTCGTGCCACTCCCGTGGTTGTGGCTGCTCTTACAAAACAATGTGTTCTCACTAGACATACTATTTGTACATGTCAAACTGTTAGCACAGGTTTCGATCCTTTAGAAAATTAGAATGAGGATCTTGCTGGAGGGAAAGGCACCCCGCAGCTCTGCTTGCTCTAATTATCTTAATTAGAATTTTTACATCATGATGCTTAAAGACATCTGACACAGAATTATAAATAAGCAATCAACTGAAATAATGAACTCCCTTTAATAAAAGCCACTCAGGTTTCTGATTGCTGTACTCGTAAGTTAATCCCCGGATAAGCATTTCTGATCTGAGCTTGCCTTCCTGACAAAAGTATTCACACGGTGCTCTTGTGGGCTTATGACTTCACCTGTCGACCAGAACCTCACAAGAGTCATCATTTACCTTCTTCATGTTGCCCCCTAGTTTGGGGTATGGCGGTTTGTTTACTCTGTTCCAATCAACAGGGACTTTAATCTTTTCATAGAGCTGGAAGATGACCAGGGCATCTGATAAGTCACTGGATGAAGACAAACACAAAAGAATTCTCAGATACCCAACATCTATGAAGGGCCTGGAGCGGGCCAGGCAGTTCTTCCTACGTGAGTTCCAGGAACATTCCCAGCAACTTGGCCACATGGGTATCAGTCACTTCATCTTTAGAGGGGAAGAAATTCTGACTCAGAGAAAGGGAGGGAGCTTCCTAGAAGCGTCCTCCAGATGTGACCACAAATGCCTCTTCAGCAGAAGCATACATTCTCCAGGAAAATAAACAGCTCCAACAAAGGGCATTGGAGACACGCCCACAGACTGAACATTTACTGTTTGGCCTGCTTGTGAGCAGATCTTGGGTATACCATAAAGTCGATTTGTTCTTTTGCTGCTGGATTTTTTTTTTTATTTTTGTACAGTAAGTCCCCAACATATGAACCTACAAGCTGCAAACTTTCAAAGACTCGAATGTATGCTTGCATGTCCAATCACATAAGCTGGGGCACGCGTCTGGCATACATTGCATGTGCCTGCACCCCCTACAAGTGGCTATGCTTCTGTGTACTTTCTTTCACAGGTTTTCCTGGTGGCTCAGTGGTGAAGAATCCACCTGCCAACGTAGGAGATGTGGGTTCGATCTCTGGGTTCGGAAGATCCTCTGGAGAAAGAAATGGCAACCCACTCCAGTATTCTTGCCTGTGAAATGCCATGGACAGAGGAGCCTGGCGGGCTACAGTCCATGGGGTAACAAAGAGTCAGACACGACTGAGTGACTGAACATGCACACAGGATGCGCATATAGAGTACAGTATTTTTATTTCTTGCCTGTCCACTTGATGCCAGCCCCTGCGTGCCAGCTTTTGCACTGTACCACAATATTTTCCAAGGTACTGTAAGATTTAAAATGTTTTTCTTTATTTTTGTGTTTGTTTTTAATGTATTATTTGTGTGGAAAGTATTATAAACCTATTACAGTACCGTACCATATAGCCAATTGCGTTAGTTGGTCATCTAGGCTAACTTTGTTGGACTTTTGAACAAAATGGACTTACAAACACCTTCTCTGAACGGAACTCATTCGTATGTAGGGGATTTACTGTACTAAATAGATAGCAAGGTTGGTGTATGGACGTGAGGTTTTCAATACCTGCTGCTCAATTTGGCGTCTCCCCCCTTCTCACTGAGGTGCACACATTTTTTGAAGAGAACTGCACACCAGAGTGATATTTGAAACCTTGGGCATCTTCACAAGTCTTGGTACCTCATATTCAGGAAGAGGCCCTCAGCATTCTTACCTGTACAAGTGATTGACTCGCGGGTTTACGCCCAAGGAGTTCATCCAGTTCCTAAACGTCCTCTCTTCTCTCGTCTCACCTAAATGAATGAAGACTAGTTATCTTTCAGGCACCAAGAAAATATGCTTTTTTATGATCAAAGTTTAACTAAAGCAGTGGTCACAAACACTAAAAGTAGAATAAAAAAAAAACCCTAAAGGATTTGAAAGAGGGTTGTTATTCTGCATTAATTGTTTTTCCATTTCAATTCATTGAGAACAGCATCTATGAGTAGTAACAGCATACAAGAGCCCATGCGGGGAAACTGTTCAGGGTTGTCCCTCAAAGGCTTACATTCTTTCTGGAAGAATATGTGTTTTGAGCATCAAAGAGGGATCATGCAAGCTAGAGGGCTACCATATGAGGTGGATATTTATATCTGAGTTGAAATAAAGGAGAGAATTGTACAGGCTACATTTGGAGGCAGTGCAATTTGAGCTTTACCTTAGAGGGCTAGTAAAATCTGGATGGTAAAGAGGAAATAGGAGAGGATTTGGGGGGACAAGTAAGGAGGACGGGGTAGGAGATTATGTAAATATGAACACAAAGGGAATGACAGTCAAGGTCTGTATCAAGACCATTAGAAACTGATTTTTCAGATATCTGTGTAGTACAGTCCACACCAATAAGGCTGTCTAGTGGCTGGAACCAGAATCCGGGATCTTTGGATGCCAGGTAGCAGATTTTGGTTGATATATTAGACAATGACAGTCATTATGGGTTCTTTTTTAATTACTATAATAAATTCTTGAGCAAGGCAGAGTTATAATGAAAGCAGTACTATGATGTGTTTGGCAGCAGTGCGCAGAATTACTGAAAGGCAATATGCATTTAAATTAAACACAGAGGGGAGAGTGTTTGACACCAGCACATGGGCACATTCAAGTGCTTGATGGATGGAGGGCTAGGCCCCTAAGACCTATTGAAACAGTTGGTGTATGATTTAGTAAGAGTCTAGAAGAGCAGAAAGGAAAAATAACAATCTAAAAGTCATTCTGTGGGAAGAATTATTAGTATTTGCTGATTCAAGAAGATTTAGGGGCGAAGGAGAGGAAGATATCAAAGTGGAACCCAGGGTTTTGGTGACTGAAGAGAGAAAAATGTGGTATGATTCATGGAAATGGAGAATTTCTAAAGGAGAGTGGATGGGATGGGAGGTTGCGGGGTGGGTAGAGAGGCAATACAGGAGGGGGGAAATGATCAATCCTGCTTTTCGTATTGATCAATTCTGATCAATATGCTGAATTTCAAGTGACAGTGACAGACCCAAATGTAGATGACCTAGAAGCAGCTGGAAATGGGTGATGAGAGGGCTTGACATATAGACTTGGTAGTCAACAGAATGCACGGACCCCTGACCACCATACATCAAAATCATACAAATGCAGAGTGTTGGAACATGGATTGACTCAGCATTTCCAGCTGGGGTAAAGCATTGTAGAAAAGGATTAACCAATTATTTAAAATGTAGATTTCCTTTCTCTGGGGATATTCACTTATTATTATTTTTGTGTTGATTTTTCTGTCTCAATATTGGGACTCATTCACAATGGGAAAAAAAGAGAAAAACATCTCTGGCAACTTCACCTATTAGAACCTGACGAAAAGCTATGTGACTTTTGCCTAGGTTTAGGGCATTAACCCCCTAAATATAACTGTCATGGATTTTGCCTCAAAATATTATTCCATGACCTCCAAATCAGAGACAAAACAAAAACCTCAGTAAGCACCTCTTAGCATAAGTTAAATATCATTTTTAGATGATAAGTGGCTGCAATTTCTTGCCTCTAGGAATTAACACTCAGTCCATTAAGTACATAAATTAGGCTTTTGGAACTCAGGATTTATTTCATCCGATAATTAAATGCACTGTCTTCCCTAAAACATTTAATTCTGATAATGGATGAAGCCCATGTATAATGGATGCAATAGAATGGTAGTTGATTATTCCTCCTTGGCTGTAATTGACTTGATTAATCTATTTATTCTCTTTGTTAGGTACCAGAGAATTGATGACCTGTTTGCAAATCTCCCACGTGAGGGGCTTATGTTTGCTTAGGAGGTGATTCTGAATTACTGTTGAATTAGAACTGTGACTGCTTCTCAGAATATTTACGCAACTGGTTTCCAGTTACCTTCAAGAGCCCCCCAGTCGATGTCCTGGTTCTCGGGCTTGTGCAGGGCAGGGTATTTGTTAAAGAGGTTGGCAATAAAAGCCAAGTTCAGCTTGGGGTTCCCTCGGACAACATCTGTGGCTGTGACAAACTGGCGGCAGCCCAGCCTCTCCGCCTGCTGCAACATGCATTCTGCCCTCTGGATGTCATCCTTCTCCTGCGATGGAAAAGGACAACCATCTCAAGGCTGGGTCAGAGCTTCTCCGGACGCAAAGCAGAGACGGGTAACGTGGAAAAGAGATGGGCATCTTACCGCAACCCTCAGTGTTCGACCTCAAGGAGACCCCCAATAGCAGCAAATCATTCCTTCTGTTTGCCTGGACCCAAATCAGAAGGGGGCTTTGCTGGTGGCTCAGACAGTAAATAATCTGCCTGCAATGTGGGAGACCCAGGCTTTATCCCTGGGTCGGGAAGATCCCCTGGAGAAGGGACTGGCTACACACTCCAGTATCCTCCCGTGGACAGAGGAGCCTGGTGGGCTACAGTTCATGGGGTCACAAAGATTCAGACATGACTGAGTGACTAACACACATACACACACACAAATCAGAGTTTCAAGTAAGAGGCATATTGACTTAATTAATCGAGTCCTCCTATCTTTATACAGAGCAGGACCATTTCAGATGAATGGTTGGTTGTCTCGTTTTTAAAGAGATGCAATAGATTCTACAACTTTGTCATTTAAGTTGATCTTACTTATTTTCAGCGATTAGGCTTTCTTTTTATTATCTTCTGGCATAGCAGCAGCAGCAGTAATACTAGTCACTCAGTCGAGTCCGACTCTTTGAAACCCCATGCACTGTAGCCCACCAGGCTCCGCTGTCCCTGGGATTCTCCAGGCAAGAACACTGGAGTGGGTAGCCATTCCCTTCTCCAGGCAATCTTCTTGCACAGACTTCACCAAAAGTTCATTTATTAAATAATAAATTACACTTATTTTTCGTTCATTAAAAATATTTACATCTGCAAACAAGAGCTTCTGATTAGTTTAACTTCTTTACCCACATTCAGCTGGTGTACCTGCAACTCTGACAAGATAAAATTTAACCTACATAGTGTCACTGATAAATATATAATACCAATTTGGCTTTGCAGACTTCAGATTGAACATCACTCCTTAACATTTTAAAAGTCTATTCAAATAGGACTAGAGAATTTCTAGTCATTTATAAGCAGACTCTTAATAGAAGACTTAAGTTTTGTGGAAATACAGTTCACTGCCTTTTGACGCTCTTAAAAATCTATGAAAGCACTAATTTTCAGACAACTAGAACTTACTAAGACTGGGATTATCTCTTACTATGATGCTTTACTAGTTAATACTATAGATTACATATTTCAGATGCTTTACTTCTCATTCAGGAATTAGTTTTTTTTCTTTCAAATTTCTTTTTTAAAAATGTTTCCTTTTTGGCCTAGTTGGGTCCTGGTTGTGGTGTGTAAGAACCACACTGTGGGATTCAGGACCTTTTGTTGCAATTCATGGACTCCACTCCTCTCTGTGCTTAATGTTTATTTCCAGGTTCAATTTTCCACAATTACTACCCCAAACTGTTAACAGTTTTTAAAAATTTAACAGGGCTCTAAGCAGAGATGTCCACTCATGGACCTCTGGAGCCAGCACCACGCAGGGCAATGGAACCGCCAATGCAGAGGAATAATGGCATCGAAACACGACTTGGGGTGTGGACTTACCCTCAGTCCTGACATGTCAATAACAACAGCAGGAATACCTTCTTCATCTCCTTTTGGAGCCACCTGTTCAAGCAGGTGGTAATAAGCTTTCGAGTCCTGTGAGAAATGAGGAAATTACAATTTCAAGATGGCATAACTAATTACACACTTAGCACAATAATAACTTCCCCAAAGCAAACATATTTCATTTCTTATCCAACTATCATTCAAGAATGCAACTTAATTAACAAAACTGGGAACATTCACTAATTTTAATTTTCCACTTGTCCTTTACATATTATATTTTTTTGCCTTTCTTTTTAAAAGAAGTATAACAGTTGAAAATACAGGACATACATAAAAGGCAACCCAAGGAAGCAAATACTATTCTGCTGCCCTCAGGGGAGAAAATAATCTATTTACATGTATTAAATTGTATACAGGAAAATACATATACCTTTATATTGTTGTAGAAGTCAGTCAGCTAAGGTTTAATTTAAACAAAAAAGTGACAGAAAAAGGAAGCAGAAGTTTAAAGCAGAGTTTAAAAATACATTTAAATGGACAATCAGCAAAAGAAAAAGATTTCAAAGACAAAAAATTGAAGCATTCACAAGCAGTCTTTATGCCAAAGGAGAAATATTAAGTGCACTTAATATTGATCAAGAAGCTAGAAATAGTGATTAAATTTAGTTATCTCAGAGAGGATATAGATATTGAATTCTCATGTTTTTTTAGATTCTGGAAATAGGTTTATTGACAAGAAATTTTCTGAATCACAGTCAAAGTTTGTCATTCAATGAAAGCATACAAATTTTCAGGTAATTTATTATTTAAATCGCTGAAAGACATCTTAATTTCTCTTAACAATCAAACACTCAGCTGTTTCTCTGTTTGTTTTTCAAAACTGGGTAGAGCCAGTTTTAGACCAGAGGTACACTCACCCTTGTGACCTTAGAAAGATGAGAAGAGACAGTGCCAGGCACAGATGCTGCATCCGGGAACCAGATTTGCATCTCTCCTTTCTACCCTCCCCTTCTCTAACTTTCTGCTATAGCTATTTCGAAGTCAGTGAAAGTTCCATGCAGCTGTTTTGTTGTTTAGTCCTTAAGTCGTGTCCTACCCTTGCAATGCCATGGACTGTAGCCCACCAGGCTCCTCTGTCCTTGGGATTTTCCAGGCAAGAATATTGGAGTGGGTTGCCATTTCCTTCTCCAGGGGAATTTTCCTGACCCGGGGATCGAACCCAGGTCTCCTGCATTGGCAGGCGGGTTCTTTACCATCTGAGCCACCAGGGAAGCTCTCCATGCAGATGTTAGGCATGAATAAAATCTGCATGTCACATGTCACATCTGTTGAGCTTTGCTCCGAGTCATCTCATTGCATGGGACTCTAAGAAACCTGTTTCACTCACTCTGTGGTGGGTGTTTTCCCTTCCTTTGCTGACTTGGTGTGATTTAAAGGCATCCCCTCAAGTTGCCAGATGCTGACTTCTACGTCTCAGCACTGACCTCGGTGATGCAGCTGCTCCCCTGTACCTGTGCTCAGCCTGCCAGCTCCTATCTCATGCTCTAAAGAACACAGCCTTTCAGTCACAGGAAATCAGGTACATTTATGGCTCAGACTAAGCATCCTAATTTTGTCTGAAAAGTGTGGCTGAAATAATGGCCAAGTCTAACTGTTGAGTGCGGAGGGAGATGATGCCGTCCAACTCCTGTTAAATTCTAGGCTGGCTGCTCGTGCCAAAAGAATGTGAATAACCAATGAAACTGTGTAGTTAGAAAAAACAAATGGCATCACTAGCTGATGTCCTAAGGAATGGGGGACTTTCCATCTAGAAGCTTTGCTCTAACTGGTACTGTGCCTGGCAGACCTTGAATTCTAAAAGCCGGACAAGGAGGGAAGCTGTCACTCAAGAATTAAAAGCTGGAGTTGACTCTCAGTGAATCATGTCACCTTTCCTCTGACTCTTCCTCTTTGGAGAAAATGTCTTTTTTTAACTTTTGAGAAAGTGGAAGACTGAATTATTTTCCTCATGTTGCACGCCAGCATCTCATACCATTTCCTAGTGGGGACTGACATTCCTTCCTGCTCCTTAAGCTCTTTCTATCTGGATATATCTGTCATCAGTGCCAACAACCCTGACATGGAACTTTTCACAAACTTGCAAACCACGAGGCATGTTTCCTTAGCTTTTCAACCTTCGGATCCCTGTTGTAGGACTACTTGTGTCTTCTACATTTTCTGGGGTTAATTCTCATTGCAGACAGTTTCCAGAATCATTATCTTTACAGTATCACTCTGGTTTCTACAAATGCAAAACTTTCAAGAAGTTTACAAATTGTTTTTAGAGGAGCACTGTGTATGGTGGTCAAGGACCATGGAGATCGACTGCTCAACTGGAGCCTGGGCCCCATTCTCCAGCTCTGTGAACTTGAACAAGTTCCTTATATTCTCTTTACCTTGGTTTCCTTACCTGCAAAATGAGCAAAGAATAACCCTTATCTCAAAGATGTGTCATGAGGATTAGAGGAGTTGATACATGCATAAGGCAGTTAGATCGGTACCTGGCATGCAGTCTTTGCTATGATTAAATGTAATTAGAAGAGTAATCCTGGCTTGATTTTCTTTGGAAAGGAATCCCCATCTGATGCTCCCGTTGACAAAATCAGAACGACATTAGAATCCTATGGAGACTCTCTTCACCTGAAAATCAGTCTTTTCTCTTGCCCTTTGTCTATTTCACCCTCATCCCTCTGTATCGGGATGCTGAAACTCTAGAGAACACCCATCACGTTTGGTGCCATGCAGCTACTAGCGCCTCGGACAGATCTGTACGTGGCCCAGAGCTGGGGCTGCACGTGGCCCTGAGAACAGCTCAGGCTCCAAAGCAGCGCCAGCCACTCCCCCGAGCCCTAGGACTCCTGAAGAGATGAAGCCCGTGTCTTCATCTGTCTCCACGAACGCCCGTATCCCCTCCACTGCTATGGCTTTAGTCACGTTCCAACTCCAGTCCTCCTACCTTGATGTCGCTGCTGAAGTTGTTGATTTTGTTGCAGCCTGCATTTTCCAGGTGGTAGTTAGCCCATCTCAGCAGGAGCTCCTCAGGAGAGAGTTTCATCAGGTCCTCCAGGCTCTCCCCTTCTCTCAGAAGAGCAGCCAGTGCTGAAGAAACACAAAGAGCGAAGAGAAATGAATGCAGGGGATACTTGGGGGGGATCAGTGACAACTTAAATAAATGCAGGGGATTGGGGGTGGGGGATTAGTGACAACTTAAACTGAGCCCTGCTGGGAAGGCAAGGTACCAAGCTATATCTCTGGGATAAAGGGATGTATGGCCTTGCCCATGGAATAAACATCTTAGTATTATTCCCTAAAAAGAGGTGTAAGGTATTATAAGCCTATTTATTATCCCCATTTTGGGGGTGGAGAAGAAAGTGAAACTGAATTGCTCAGTCGTGTCTGACTCTTTGCGATATCATGGACTGTCCATGGAATACTCCAGGCAAGAATACTGGAAGGGGTAGTCATTCCCTTCTCCAGAGGATCTTCCCGACCCATGGCTCGAATCTGGGTCTCCTGCAGAATTGCAGACAGGTTCTTTACCATCTGAGCCCACCAGGGAAGCCTCTATGGGTGGAGAAGGCATGACACCAGTGAATGTCAGCACTATGCCTAAGAAAACAGGGGCAGAACTGCGGAAATAATCAAGCCTATAGACTCGGAATACTCTGCTGGGTCTGTTAGAACACATTTCATGATAGGACAACATTTCTACTTTTAAGAGATCAATTTTGTGATAACGACAATGTCCTCTTGTTTATTTTCATAGGTGTTTTATATTTCAAATGCTTACCTGCATAATGACAGCAAGTCAAAAAGTGCAATTAACTCTTTCCTCTGTGTTTCCCAGATGAATTAAATCACTTTTGTTCAGCGAGAAGGTCTAAATTTAGCTGAGGTCATTATTTGCAAATCAATATTCTTTCTAATGTGTTCTAAGTTTCCCTATTTGCTTTTTTATTCTTTATATTCTGTTTAATATAACACACTGGTTTTCAAATGGTACCCCAGAAGTCTTCCCTGGGTATTTTGATTTGGACATGTTAATAAAATGTATGTATAACTAAAGGCCAGAATCTGGCTACAGATTTCATATTAGTAGGGTCTACACAGGAAAAATGAAAGGTAACAGTGTGCTGATTATTGATATTTGTCAAGGTCTACTACTACTGTCCAAGGGACAGGCTGAATTGTTGAAACACTTACGATGCTGACAGCAGATGGAGTAATACTGACAGCTACAATATTTGGTTGAGAACTCTGAAACCCTAAATGTAATTTCCTATAATCTTGGTAAAAAAAAAGAGGTTGCATTGCTCCTAATCTGGTACTATCACTGCAGTATATGAATGCAAATCGCTTTGTAAAATCCAAGTTTAAAATAGCCTAATTTGTTACAAAGTATCTAAAGGCAAAGTGAACTCAGAAAAGCTCTTGAGGTGGGAGTCCCAGACAGCTAGACAGAGCTACAGGTTCTAAACAAGCCTCCTTATTAGTCTGTGGTCTTTGAAAGGCATTTGCTCTGGGCAGTTAGTTGTACAGCCTTCAACATCGGCATTAACAAAAAGTCAGGCCGTTATTCACGTTTGAGGCTTTGCTCGTACCTTCGTTTCTGCTGAGCTCGATGTCGGCAAATAACCCGATCTTGATGACCTGCCACAACAGTCCTAGGACCAGGTAAGGCTTCCCCTCCTTTAAGTCCTCAGCGCCGATATTAACCACGTGGCACCCGATGGCTGAGGCAGAGTTCAGAGCCAGGTTCAAATTTTCCTGAAGGAGAAAAAATAATGCAAGTTTTGTTTTTGACTTTGCAGATGCCAAATGATCATTACTGATTGGCAAAGCAACAGTGTTTCGCTTCTGGAAAGTTCACAGGTCTAGGGGCATTGTCTTCACTAGGCTTAAATATTGGAAAAAAGCAGGAATATCTGAAAGAGAAAATCTAGCAACCTAGATCCTAGGATCAGGCAGCTCACCCTGGTGAGGATGAAACTAACGAGTCTTATTTTTCACACTGCTCTGTGATGGCGCCTCCACACTCAGCATCTCCATCGGCCAGCAGTTAAAGCGGCATCTTTGAGGACAGCCACTGCCTTGTCACCAGTTTTTGTCAATAACCCAGCTGTTGATATAAATCGAGGTCATAAAAGAGAACACCAAAATAGCTTGTTGACTTGCAGACTGGATAGTGAAGGAATGAAAAAGATACAAATCAACTTCCTGGAAAAGACATGGTGGTTTTTCCAAGGATAATTTACTGAGAGTATCCATAATATCTAGGGTCCTTGAGTACACACAACATATATAAAAATACACATATGCCTATCCACATACATACAGATTATATGTTCTTATAAACTAATAACAATCTATGTAAGGTGACACATATACAGTTGGAATAGGGTCAATGGAGTTTTCAATCCAGGGTTTTTATATAGCTGACCTTGAAAGCCATAAGTTTATGGACCCATTATGTATATATATTGTGTTCATCACTCAGTCGTGTCTGACTCTTTGTGACCCCACGGACTAGAGCCCACCAGGCTCCTCCGCCCATGGAATTCTCCAGGCAAGAATACTGGAGTGGGTTGCCATTTCCTTCTCCAATGTATAAATATAGCGAATACTATAGTACTACATGACCCATGGCTGGTCAAATCCACAGATGAAGAACCATGGTCATGGAAGAACCAAGTACAGGAAACACAGACTGTAAATAATATTCAGATTTCAGATGGAGCAGAGGGTGGACACCCCAACCCTCATGCTGTTCAAGGGTCAACCGTACTATTATTCTGGGTCTGCAAAGCAGGACTTACCAGAGTCAAAGACGTATAGAACTTGTTTTCATGATAAATTAAAAACAAAACAAAACACAGGCCACCAGGGAATTTGGAAGAAAACTATCAGAAGAAAGGGCTTCCCAGGTGGCTCCGTGGTACAGAATCTGCCTGCCAATGCAGGAGATGCAGGAGATGTGGGTTCGATCCCTGGGTGGAGAAGATCTCCTGGAGTAGGCAATGGCAACCCATTCCAGTATTCTTGCCTGGGAAATCCCATGGACAGAGGAGCCTGGTGGGCTACAGTCCATGGGGTCACAGAGATTCGGGCACAACTGAATGACTAAGCACACACACACACAGAACTCAAACGACAAGTAAAAAAATATGGGGTCCAGTTACGGCAAAGACTAAAATGTAACAGCAAGATTAAATATGACGCTAAGTGCCTTCATATATATTTAATCATAGTTCTTGCTTCGATCATGGCTTCCATTTTTTAAGAACACAGGGTTGCTTAAATCCAAACAGGACATAATTTATTGTTCATGATTTAAAAAGTGAGACGTGGCTTCTGAGCGAGAAGATTACAATAATGTTAAAATGCTGGAACACAGCACAGAAATGCAGCTTACTTACTCCCAGTCACTGTTCCAGTTAATCAACAAATTGAAGGCATAAAAACAAGTTATATTTATCACACTGGTGGCTGTGGCCGACACGACTGTGGAGGCTTCCGGAGCACTTCCCATGTTTACCTCCTCACTTCTTAGAAAGGCTAATCTTTTCAGATAAAATGCTGTGTATCTGGCATCAGCTCAAAGATAAATTGCCAGGGGAAGTCTGAGTTAAAACTTGAGCCAGTGTGAATTTCATTCATAAGTGGCCAAAACAAACTCTACCCCCAACGACTAACACTCACCAACTCCACCTACCCCCACTATATTAATAAAAGATGAAGTAAAAATGTTTTCCCTTGTGCCCACTGGTCATGACAGATGACCAGCCCAGAGCCTTGGTTGGAGGAATAATGTTTGAACATCTGAAAAGGCCCGGCTTGGCAGTGATGATGACCCATTCCTTCTAAGCACAACACTATATTAATTAAGGTAACACAGGGAAGATGTACCTGAATGGTGAAAGGGGTGAGTTTCTTTTTGTTGATTGTCCTCTCATCAATTGTGTCCGGCACTGACAGATTGATCATTTTACTGAAAGAGAAACAATGAAAGAAAGCAGGCTTCTAAATAAAAGAGCCTAATGACATGGAATTTAAATTCTAGTGACGCCATAAGCAGATAAGACAGCACCATAATCTGCTCTACTCAATGTTCAAATATAAATTTGGTTATGCAATTTTAACTAGATTCAAACTATCTGTGGAAAAGGTTCATCCTCCTTGAAGTCTTACTAATACAGTGAAGCAAGAAATAAGGATCCTACTTCATCCACTCACCAAAAAGCTGAAAAATTATTCTGGTTCCTTTAATTAGGAAATTCTGGGTGGATAGCCAAAGCAAATTCTCCATGAGTTCTTCTCTTTCTCAGTCATGAGACTTGCCCCCACCATATAAAAGATTATCCATACACAATCTGAGTATATATAATGTCTAAATTTCTATTTGAGATCTGGTCAAACTCTATACCTTCAACATCCCAGGGACGGCAGAGCCTGGTGGGCTGACATCTATGGGGTCGCACAGAGTTGGACACGACTAAAACGACTTAGCAGCAGCAGCAGCATACCTTCAACTAACCACATGATGAAATGTTTTATTATCTCCTGTAATCATTAGAGTATCCGTACGTTAGAAATGTCTGCCACTTAAGTATCTAGTATATTGACCAGACATTCAAAATAAGCAATTATTAATTATGAAAGACTGATTTTATCCACTTTGCTTTGGTTTAACCTATGTGAGGTTATTAAAAATAAAAGTTCTTTGGCCACTTCCATCTTATTTAAAGAAGTTGGGGGAAAAAAATCCAAAGGAACAACAACAAAATCAAAGAGTAATAAACTTGAATGTGACTATTCCTTTTTTTTAATAAAAGAAATTAGCATTGACATCTTTCCTACCAATTTTTAAGCAACTACCTTTTCTTGTGGTTGTTCTTAAAATATGTATTTCTACAACTTTGCCGTGTGTGTGTGTGTGTGTGTGTGTATTTTATTTAAATAAAAAGCACTTTACTGAAATTTAGGCAAAACAAACCCCTAAATCATTATTTGAAAAATATGAAACTAACAGTGAACTAGAAGCTATGGGAGATGGTAGCAGAGCAGCGTGGCTTAGAAAAGAAAAAGATATCCCTGCCTTTGAAAAGCTTATAGTTGAGGGACTCTCCTGGTGGTCCAGGGGCTAAGACTCCATGCTCCCAATGGAGAGGGCCAGGGCTTGATCCCTGGTCAGGGAACTAGATACTGCATGCCTCAACTAAAAAGACCCTGCGTGCCCCAACTAAGATTGAAGATCCTGTGTTCTGCAACTAAGACCCAGTGTAGCCAAATAAATAAATTTATTTTATTATAAATAAAAGTTATTGTACATATTTATTTTCTTACTTAAAAATAAATAACATTTATTTATTAAAAAGAAAAGCTTATAGTCAAATTTCAGACAAATGATATGGGCATCAAAAGCTACGTTAACAGTCCAAAGCAGAACACTATAGTGGCTCCCAAAGGATTACAAACTATATGTGCTTTAAAAATTCAGTGAAGGGAGAAATCACTAGGAGTTGGAACAGACTAGAAACCTTGGATTCATGTAGGAATCATGTAGTAAATGGATTCATGTAGGAGGAGAGGGTGGGGAAGGGCATTCTTAAAAAGGAAAATTAAAGGCAAAGCCGGAGTTGCAAGATGTAAGCAGGCTGTGTATGGGGAACTGTGCGCAGGGCTGCTGGTGCAGCCAGTCACTCGTGGAACCCTTCACTGTACCCTGGATGGGGGGCCTGAGTCATGCAGGCCTCGGGAGGTAGGACTAGGAGACTGAGGGAAGACCAGGCGATGCCTGGGGTACCCGTGGAAAGAGTCAGGACCTGATCCTGTGCACTAGGTTTTTTGACGTCTTTTTAACAGTTGAACTTTATAAAAATGAAATCTCACAGTGAACTCTAATAAATAAAATGCAATTGCTCTGGTCAGAGCAGAGGAAGGATGGGGGGTGGGCGGTTAAAGTCCTGCCCACTCATCCTTTCCTTCAATTCCTGAGCCCACCTGAGACGAGGCATTTCAAACCTCCTCAATTACACCACGCCTCACGATGACAGAGAGGCTGCCAAAGCAACAGCCACAGCGGCTCTTTCAAAATCACCATCCTGAACTGACCAGCGGCGCTGAGAGCCTCCCGTGCAGAGAACATAGCTCTCCTCTTCCAGGCGCCCTCAGCGTGTGTACACCACGCAGTAGCCCCTCTGTTTGAGGACTGGCGTTGGATGCTCCAATCATCATGCTGCTGTTTCCTATTCAGTTCTATGCACTCTCATGACAGGCCGTGCTCAGATGAAGAAAAATAGCATAGAACCCAAAAGTAATTGCCATTGACCTTGTGTTCCTATGGCCCTACGTTCACGTTTATCTCTGATCTATGCCTCCCTCTCCTCCACCCAAGTGAGAGTAGTTTTATATTTCTCATTATTAGTTGCTTTTAAGAAAAAATGTGGACCATTTTTAAGTTTTTATTGAATTTGTTACAGTATTGCCTCTACTTTACATTTTGGTTTTTTGACTGAGAGGCATGTGGGATTTTAGCTCCCTGACCAGGGATTGAACCCGCACCCCCTGCATTGGAAGGGGAAGTTCTAACTGCTGGACCACCAGGGAAGTCCCATAAATTGCTTTTGAAATCAGTTTTCTCTCCTGGACCTTCCACATGAAAATCCAGAAAAGCATCAGGTCCAGCTAAGCATCAAAAGAAGTGAGCCTAAAAGGATCAACACAGCGAATGGTGGGTATTCCAGAAAATTCTAGGGAAACTTTAGGAAGCCAAGACCAGGAGGGAGTGTTTTTTACCAAAGCACGATGCCATCTCCAACAGCACTGAAGAGATCATTGGTGTTAGGATCCATTGGGATGACGTGCCGACAATCGGGGTCATTTTCCAGGGCTTTGTTTATCCAGTTGACAAAGGCATACTTCTCTTCCTCTGCAAGTAAATGATTAAAGTGACTTATTTACAAAGTGAAAATCTGGTACAAGCAAAATCATATACACACATGGCTCTTAGATTCTCACGCCCAGAAGAGACATTGTGAGGTTCATCTGGTCCATTATCCTATCATCTCACATTTATTGATAATAAAAAATCTCAGATGATTTGGGAAATAGGCACAGAATCTGTTTTATGTCCAAGTCATAAAACATACATATAGCAAGCAAATTTAGAAGCTATAGATATGCAAACATATTTAGAAGTAAATGCAAAAATGAAGTGAGGTGAAAGTCACCCAGTCATGTTCGATTCTTTGCAACTCCATGGACTATTAGCCCGCCAGGCTCCTCTGTCCATGGAATTTCCCAGGCAAGAACACTGGAGTGGGTTGCCGTTTCCTACGCCCTGTGCAGGGAATCTTCCCAACCCAGGGTTCAAACCGGCCTCCTGCATTGCAGGCAGATTCTTTGCTGTTTGAGCCACTATTTATTTTTATATATGTAAATATATAAATAATTAAGTGTTTATTTATATTTCTATACAATCCAAATATAAATATGGTCCAATGCTTACATGATAAAACTCAGGGTTCTGCCTCTCGCCCTGCTGCTTTCAGTATGGGGTGATCAAAGGCAATCTTTGCAATGTCTCTGAGATTCTTTATACAATTACAGGCATCTCTGCTTTTCAAAAGTTCACTTTATGCCACCTTGTTTTTGCAGAAGAGCTACATCAGTACCTGTTTTTGCTCACCACAAGAAATCCGCAGGGGATTTTTGCTTTTATGAAAAAAGGTGAAAAGTAAAAATAGTGCTCAGTGTTTGTTTTGCAGAGGCAGTGGGTATCCCAGCAAGCAGAGTACCACCACCCAGCTCCTTTCTTGGGACTATACACAGCATCCCAGCATCAAGCTGCCATCGTTCTGAACTGAGTCTGTGAGCCTCTGTCTCATCTCAATGTATTCCCTGCATCCATCAGCAAGATACGACCTAAGGTAACTGCTTCTTCACTTTGCACCACTTTGGTTTACAGAAAGTTTCATAGAAACTCTGTACTTTCAGATAGTGGGGGGAACTGTATAATGAAAATGCTATGAAATGAAATCACTTGTGATATGATATTTCTTTCCTATCAGTAAAGCTGCCAGAAATTGACTTTAGAAATTTTAATAAAGCCTCAAGTTATGCCTTATAGCCCAGCACTGTGTTTCCCAAATTGTGTGTTACTGAAAGCAAGAATGTCCCTCAGAAAAATTCTGAGTCACAACAGTTTGGGAAACATTGCATAGCATATTATTGTCTTGAAGATTTCACACAGCATATTATTGTCTTGAAGATTCCTAATGCACATTTACAAAGCAAAAGCCTATAAAATTTGCTATATTTAAAAATAAAAGTCTGAACTCGGTCTTTGCCATTAAGAATGATACTTAAGCATGAGCTGATCTTTAAGATCAAACAGTGTTTTGAAGGCCACAGGAATTACTGGAATTATCAGATTACTGTACTGTTTGGGCTAATAGAAGTTTCCATGAAGGCTGATGGATGGCAGCTTCAGAATAAATACACAATTTTCCTCCAAATCAATGAAAACACAATTATTTTTTTGGACTGCTCAGCAAGAATTAAGAACCATCATGAATTTTGGAGGTAGAAGCCTTTTTGTTCAAAAGATTTACAAAGGAGTTTTGGCAGCCTTTAATATGCTTTTTAAAGTTGTTTTCTTTTAATTCATTTATTTATTTGGCTGCACTGAGTCTTAGTTGGGGCAGGTGGGATCTAGTTCCCTGACCAGGGATTGAACCCAGGCCCCCTGTATTAGGAATGCAGAGTCATAGCCACTGGACCACCAGGGAAGTCCCTATAATACACTTTTTGAATGCTGATGAGATTATTTGGCATTGGACCCTATCTAGAGCCAGAACTGTGGGCCCACCTATACACAGGAAGATACGCAGTAGTTAATAAACTCAGGTTAACTTCTGTCTTTCATTGCACCCTTTAGGTTTGAATGCTGAGTTTGGAATCTGTAACCACAAGAGACGTGCATCGTTTCGACATGGTTCCCTCTCCCTTTACCCTCAGTTCCTCCCAACCGTCTCTCCACCTTGCTTCCCAGCTCCCAGGCTGGCACACCTACCTGAGTAGGAGTGTTGAGTGCCAACACTAGACTGCTCGGAAGTGCCCCCGATCGCACAAATCCCTTCCTTCTTGTTGATGGCTTTTCTAAAGGTCTTGGCAACCTCTGTGCTTTTCAGGCCATGAAAAACCTGCAAACACATAACGTATCTTTAGAAACCTAATCTGTGATGTAGAAAACCATAAAGGAAAGAATAAGCAATGCTGAAGCATGAAAGATGGGAATGTATTGCTGGTATTTCTCAACTTGAACTTCCATGTTTCAAATGCATCTCCTTGGCTTCTGCATCATACTCACCTTGATAAACTCATCAAAGCTGATCTTCCCATCCTGGTCCAGGTCACCCGTGGCCATCAGGTTTTCTGTAATTTCTCTCACCCTGTACCCAGGCAGAGGCAAGCAGGCAGCCTTGAACAAGTCATTCAGTTCATTGCAGCTGATGTACCCGTTGCCATCGGTATCTGTAAGACAGACGAGGAGCTGATGGCTCAGGGCAATTTGGGTTACAACACGAAGAGAGGTGAGAGAAGGCCGGATGGGAGGACAGTGGGTGACAGAGGCCGTCATTCCGGAGCTGTGAGCTGACCCCATGCAAAGTCAGAATCTCACAAGAGACCTGCTGCTATTATAAATGGGTATTAGCATCATTTCCAACACCCAAGAGTCAAAATTTCAACAAAGAGGTTCTGACAATAAGCTGAAGAGACTCTTACAGAAACATATGGGAAAATAAATCACAGACTTGGAGCTACAGATTAAGAAAAAATATTTGTTGTTGTTTAGTCACTAAGTTTGGTAAGGCAATGGCACCCCACTCCAGTCCTCTTGCCTGGAAAATCCCATGGACGGAGGAGCCTGGTAGGCTGCAGTCCATGGGGTCGCTAAGAGTTGGACACGACTGGGTAACTTCACTTTCACTTTTCACTTTCATGCATTGGAGAAGGAAATGGCAACCCACTCCAGTGTTCTTGCCTGGAGAATCCCAGGGACAGGGGAGCCTGGTGGGCTGCCGTCTATGGGGTCGCACAGAGTCAGACACGACTGAAGTGACTTAGCAGAGCAGCAGCAGTCACTAAGTTATATCTGACTCTACAGAGATCCCATGGACTACAGCCCGCCAGGCTCCTCTGTCCATGGGATTCTCCAGGCAAGAACACTGGAGTGGGTTGCCATTTCCTTCTCCAGGGGATCTTCCTGACCCAGGGATCAAATCTGAATCTCTTGCATTGGTAGATGGATTCTTTACCACGGAGTCACCTGGGAAGTAAGGAATACTATAAAAACAAAGGAAATAAAAAAAAGCAGACAAGCCATAAAAGCTGAGATTTAGTGGCCACTTCCAGGAAAAGCTACAGGTGTAAAAGGACTCGTATGCCACATTTTGATAGAGAAAGAAGTAATTTTCTGGAAGAATAGCTTTAAAAAATATTTCCCTAGCTCCTGTAATCAATACCACTATATTCTTGCCCTTTCTACTATTTTGCTCATGTTAACCAGTCACTGATTCTGTCCTGAAGCTACTAAAAAAGTAGAGAATTGTGTGACTTGAGGTATCAGGTTCACTTACCCACTTTGGCAAAAGCTTCTCTGAGCTCCATCATTTCTTCATCGGATACTGATCCTCTGGCCATTTTTTACCGCTTTAGGCAACAGTTCTGCAGAGAGGGGACAACACAGGGAGTGAATGATGTGCATCTTCTTAAAATACCACATCGAGAAGCAATTCTTATTTATTAAGTAAAGAAATATTTCTTTGCACCCCTTATCACTTATAATTATCTTCCCAAAAGGCAAGAAATTGACTTTTTCTTATTTTATCTTCTTCAAATTTTTTAACTTTTTATTTTATATTGGAGTTTAGTCAATTAACAACATTGTAATAGTTTCAGGTGGACAGCAAAGGAACTCAACCACACACACATATGAGTGGGTGAGGGAAAGTCGCTCAGTCACCTCCAACCCCTTGCGATCCCATGGACTGTAGCCCGCCAGGCTCCTCTGTCCATGGGATTCTCCAGGCAAGGATCCTGGAGTGGGTTGCCATTCCCTTCTCCAGGGATCTTCCCGACCCATTCTCCCCTGAAATCCCCTCCCATCCAGGCTGCCACACAGCACTGAGCAGGGCTTCCTGTGCGCCACAGGAGGTCCTTGTTGATTATCAAAGAAACAGCCTTTTTCTTAACTGGACTCCACTCTTTGGTCTCCAGAGATGGTCCTCAACATTCAGAAAACTAAGATCATGGCATCCAGTCTCATCACTTCATGGCAAATAGACGGGAAAACAATGGAAACACTAACAGACTTTATTATTTTGGGCTCCAAAATCACTGCGGATGATGACTGCAGCCATGAAATTAAAAGACGCTTGCTCCCTGGAAGAAAAGCTATGACCAACCTAGAAAGGATATTAAAAAGCAGAGACATTACTTTGCCAACAAAGATCCACCTAGTCAAAGCTATGGTTTTTCTAGTAATCATGTATGGATGTGAGAGTTGGACTATAAAGAAAGCTGAACACTGAAGAATTGATGCTTTTGAACTGTGGTGTTGGAGAAGACTCTTGAGAGTCCCTTGGACTGCAAGGAGATCAAAAGAGTAAATCCTGAAGGAAATCAGTCCTGAATATTCATTGGAAGGACTGATGCTGAAGCTGAAACTCCAATACTTTGGCCACCTGATGCGAAGAACTGAACTCCTTGGAAAAGACCCTGATGCTGGGAAAGATTGAAGGCAGGAGGAGAAGGGGGCAACAGAGGATGAGACGGTTGGATGGCATCACCAACTCAATGGACATGAGTTTGAGTAAATTCCGGAAGTTGGTGACGGACAGGGAGGCCTGCAGTTCATGGGGTCGCAAAGAGTCGGACACGACTGAGCGACTGAACTGAATCGAACTGAAAGATGGTCCACACTGTTTCTCTCCTCCCTGTGATCAGGCTGCTCCTCACGTCAGGAGATGGAGCTTATTTCCTCTCCTTGAATCTAGGCTGACTCTGTGACTGCTGTTAGTATTTAGAGGGCTAGAGAAGCCATGTCTGGGCTGGAAACTTCTGCTTCCTGCCTTTGGGAATGCTCGCTCCTTCTGGGATGCTCATGCTTGGGATGGTCCCTCTTGGAAACCAGCTGCCATGCTCTGAGATGTCTAAGCCACAGGAAGTAGGATAATTGGATGCTCTGGTTAATGGTCCCTGCTGAGCTCCCAGGCAGCAGCCAGCATCAACTGCCAACCAGCACAGAAGGCCAGTTTGGACATTCCAGCCCATTTGAGCTCCTGGATAAACCCAGTCCCAGACAACATCACAGGAAGCAGAACTGCCCAGAATTCTGATACCAAGAGAACTGAGAGATGGGTTTTAAATCCCAACATTTTGGAGTAGTTTGAACCACAGAAATATATGGCAAAAACACAATTTTCACATAAATGTCATTTTTAGAGAGATGTTCATGTTCATATTTCAAATGAGTATGTTTGGCCAAGTCAACAGATAACTTCAAAGTCAGTTATCAAAGTTCTCTGAGTATTTTAGAAAAGAGGAAGGGAATCTGATCGTCTAATAAGTCTAATGGGAATATGGGGGGCTGTTTAGGTGTTCTCAGAAAGACTAGTGTTGGCTAAGAAACTATCCTAGCACTGAGTAATTTCCCTTTCCCTGGGTATGATTGCTGCCCTCTAGTGGGCAGAAAGAGAATGCAACAGAAAATGGATGACACGCTGGCGCAGCTAACCCACTCCAGTCTTCTTGCCTGGAGAATTCCACGGACAGAGGAGCCTGGCAGGCTCCATGGGGTAGAAAGAGTCGGACGACTAAGGGCCTAACACACTAGCTAATTCACAGGCCCATGTTTCAAAGAGGAGCTCCGTTAAGCTTATGGAATTTCCCAATGGGGAAGCAATAAGCGGGGCGAGAGTGTGGAAGAAGTGTTTCTATTTACATTTGGGGCATTTCAGTGAAGTTACTGATTTTAAAACAGATTTAAAATTTGTGACAGAATGCTGTTTTAAATGGATTTCCTTTTTTATGTTTGCACTTCATTTCCGCTGTACTTTTTTCTCGGTGACAACGAGCCACACAAGACAGTGAACAGTTTTAACACAAACCTGTTGGCCAAAAAAAAATGCACTACGCTAAATTTTGCAAATAGCCATCCCTTATTCACCAACTCTCTATACTGCCACATACATTTATCACATGTATTAGTAGTTTCAATCTTTCATTTTCCTAAGCAACCCTCTGTCAATAGAATCCTTACATGTAAACAACAATAACAAAAATAACTCTGGGGAGGGATAAATTAAGAGTATGGGATTAACAGATACACAGTACTATGTATAAAATATGTACACAACAAGGATTTACTGAATAGCACGGGGAACTGTATTTGATACCTTGTAGCAACCTAAAATGCAAAAGAATCTGAAAAAGAACAGACATTTATATATGTATAAAGGAATCACTGTGCTGTATGCCTGACCTGAAATATAATATTGTAAAGTATTGTATAAAATAAATATTACTAAAATATAAATATAAAATTAAACATAAAATAATTATTATATTAAAATATAATATTGTAAATCCAATTTAAAAAAAAAAACTCTGAAAGACTTCAGTTGAAAAAAACCCAAATGCCCCCCCTCCCTCCACTATCCCATCTTCTTGCCACCTTACACACTGGTGGGAACTCCAAAGAGCATGACTTTAAAACTGTGGAATTATATATATTGTTATTATTTTGATTCCCTTAAATTGTGGGATTCTATATATGGTTACTATTTCAATTTATATTGTTATTATTTAATATATAATTTAAGTTACATATGGTTATTATTATTTCCATTTTCAATATATATATATATATATATAAAATTGTGGAATTATATATATTGATATTATTTCAAACTTTTATTACCAAAAGCACCTATGGTATTATTATTTACCTTATATCTACAAAGGTATTGGCCCATTAGGTTCTCGGTCAGAAGGCAGAAACTGCTGAGAGCTTAACTGTGTAAGGCAATGCAACCTCAGCCATCACAATAACTTCAGAGCCCGGCGGCACCCGTCACCTACCTGACTTTCTTGCCTTCACCTCTCTTTCTTCCTTTTGGGCTTGTCTGTTTCTCTGTCTCCCTCCCTCCCTTCCTCCCTCCCCCTCTCCCTCCCTTCTTTTCTTTCTTCCCTTGAGGTTTGTTGTTATTGTTAGTTTCCTTTGTAAAAATCAAGCCAGGAAATGTAAGAGACATGGCTTCGATCCCTGGGTCAGGAATATTCCCCCGGAGAAGGAAATGACAACCCACCCCAGTATTCTTGCCTGTGGAATCCCAGGGACAGAGGAGCCTGGCGGGCCACAGTCCATGGGGTTGCAAAGAGTTGGACACGACTGAGCGGACATGCGTATACCATGCACTTGTTCCAAACCAATTTGAGCCCAGTTACAAGGATAGACCCAAGCCTGAGACCTAAACCCAATAAAATGTGATCAAGCAGAAGGAGTAATAAGCATGGGTGAAATAAGACAGCGGCGAGGGAGAGCCTTAATACTTCAAACACTGCACATTGTGAAAATCTAGTTCCAAGTTCTCTAGAGGTTAAATGCTAAAAAGGAGCTATCACTTCCATAATTCATTCTATCTACGTGAGAAAAGTCAGTTTTCTTAGGGCAGCAGAACTGAGGCCCGAGAGCAGTACCTTCACGCAAACTGGGTGAGAGGACATTCCTGGGGTGTAGTAAACGCAAGTTCTGTGTTTCTTATAATGTCCCACAGTGAAGACTGAGAGCTCAGCTAATGCATTCACACTTCATAGAGCAGGAACCAGGAGCTCAGAGAAGATTCATGTCTCAGACCACACAGCCGGGGAGAGGAGCAGCAGGATTCCAGTGCTCGAGTCGCCTCTCCTCTCCCATGCTGTCTGTTCAGGCTGCTGTGCATTTCTCTTAGACGCTCACTTCATCCACCCATTCACTCATCCAGCAATTACTCATTAAGTATTGGCTTGGCCAAAAACTTCGTTTGAGTTTTTCCATCTTAAAATAAACAGAATATGAAGTGTGTGTCCAAGTGTTCTAGCTTAGGAAGCTTTTGCTTTCCTGTGTTAAGAAATCAAGGCTTCTGCTGGAAGATACCAGTGTGTAATTTTGCATACTTCACTAAATTCTTATGACTAATTTGGTTTGATTCTTCTTTATACTCTCTACCAAGAAGAGAAGGCTCTCCTCCATTATATTTTAGCAAAGTCTTTGGTAAAGTCTGGCCCTTCTTGTTTCGGGGGTGTCTTATTTCTTGGTTCACAGATGTTCACAGGGTTACTAGATAAATCGATTCACTCACAAATATTTACAAAAGCCTACTATAAGGCAGACACTGCTCTTCATTTCAGGTGAGGGTGCTGCCCTAGCTACTCTGAAAACATGAACCAGTGTTAAAGGTCAAGAGAATGAATGGGGTCTCTGAATCTAAACTTGGCTATTCTTTGACAGAAGACTTTTAGATTTTAGAGCACGTGAGTGATTGGTGAGAAAGACGTGTAAAGAGGCAGGGAATGAGATTGCCTTTTAAGGATGAAGGGCAGGGTTGAGGAAAAACGAAAGAATTACAGCATTGGGTGACAAAGAACATCTAAAGATCATG